TTCGAGTAGTCATAAAAGGTCTGTACCATTCAACGAATGCTGAAGAGATTAAACAAAGCTTAAAAGGAAATGCAGATAATAAAAAATATATGAAATCAAAATTTTAGTCAACAACAGAGTAGAAATTAAAGCTTCTTACTTAGAAAGAGAAATTTCAACATGCGCAAGATGCCAGGGTTATGGCCATACAAAAAATTTATGCAAACGAATTGTGTAGTTTGTTAAATGCGCTGGGTCACACCTAACGAAGGACTGTATAAGAAAAGTTAGAGATGAAAACGTAAAGTGTATAAACTGCAAGGGAAACCATCTGAAGTGCACAAACAGTTACAATAATAACTGTAACTCACACTCTGATAAAAAACACAGAACAGCAGCAGACAAAACTAGATTCGAGAACAAGACAACGAGTAAACTACACTTAAGCGTACGATGAGAAAAATATAAATAATAACCCTATCACATATCTACAAATCCAAATCTACACCTAAACATACAAGCACTCTCCATTCAGCCAACCAATCAAAATAACCTAAGTAAATTAGAACATAGGAAAGTTTACCGAACAGATAGGAACCATTCTTAATCTGTTAACCACGATCGTCAATAAACTTGCTTAATGTCAGCATATGATAAAGTTTTAACTGTTTGTTGAACGCCATAAGATAAGGTAGGTATTCTTATCTTATAAGCCAGTCGTGACATTTCTGAGAATTATCGTGTAAGTTATCTAAGTACGAAGGGTTGGAAATATAGGTATAAATAATCGTTTCTACACCTTTTATTATTACATCTTACTATTTACAGATTCACGGTTATTGATTAACAAATTACTTATTTGACGATGATACGTGGTTATTTTTTAATTTGTCAGGTGTGTTTAATTACAACTAACATTGACTACTCATCTAATCATATTATTGACCTCCATTTTTACACTTATATTATGTCAATTTGTAACGCATCGCCTCGTTACTGAGGCAATTATTATACTTATACACTATTATGCTTATTTTGCAAGGTTTTGCCTGCTGAAACGAATGTGTTTTTATAATAGACACGCATATGGTATACAATTTGTGCTTTAGATTTAAAATTGTCCTAATAAAATTTGTTAAACAACTATAAAATTTACTAAAGTATTCTTAAATCAAAAAGAGAAATCGTACGAGTTCTATCTGGCGAAACCGAATTCAAATTTTTACCACTGTGCTTTCTAAAACTTGCAAATCAAACAGCTTGATAAATTACTCGGCAAGGAAATCTAAGATTGCATTCCACATGCCATTCATCATGGTCAAAATTCGTAGTGAATTCCATTTCTGGTGCTCCAAACGGAGTAAAGAAATAAAACATAAAGACAGTACTAGATTTTTGTTTCAATACAGAGCGGTGGCAAGCTTCTACGTATTTCGACCACTTTAGGTCTCTTCAAGGCGGTATAGCCACCTCTCTGGACCGAAACAAAATCTATCCCCATCTTAGACAATAGTTATCAAAATAACTATATACGGACGTAACTACGCCATCTAACAACAAAAAGAGAAATCTAAAACTTGCAAAGCAAACAGCTTGATAAATTACTTCGTTAGAGAATTTAAGATTGCATTCTACATGCCGTTCATCATGGTCAAAATTCTGCTTTAAATTTCTATAATGTAAAATATATTTAAATTTATTATACAGTGTCGGCAGTAATTTTGTCAATTTTTAACCGTGCGCAATACGGTGTTCGGCAGCAAATGAAAAATCTTTGTGTATATCATCCAACTCACGTGGATACACTGAGTCAACTTGAAAAAAAAAGAACCCTCTTTGCATCGTCAGGTATTGGCATAATATCATCAATATTGTACTCAAAATCATCTGTGGATTTTGATGAAACTTCAAACTTGGAGCTATCTTACTTATAGCTCAGCCACACAAATTATTTACATCTAAATATATCATGTAATTATAGAGCAGTTTGGGGTCATACGACGACATGTGTCTATTGGTGGCTTCCGGATATCGGTTACTGCACACAGATATCTCGCCTCGTATAGTTTTTTCCATGAACAAAATTACATCTACATCTTATATCAATTCTAATTTACATTGTGTGCATCTCAGCATACAGTCCCAAGTTGGACACAGTTGGCATGGTATAATACCGAGGACGATCTAAGTTATATATTATGTATCTCGACATCTTTGACGGGTGTACCTGTTTAAACACACCTGTTAGCAGCAGAATATTTGTTATTTAATACAAATCACTGCATTCACACAAAATTTTATATTAAAATTTATTCCAAACATTCTGCTCATGAGCATACGTTTCTTTACTAATATGTTCATTATTTAACTTATAAAAATGTCTAATTTTGGGTAAAGAAATTTCATCTAATTTTTCAAAACTATCAATATAATCATAATAAATTACTCCTTTACATAGAGAAAAATCAAAAAAGCGACTCGAATTATGCTAAATGATACAAATTGTGTCGCAAATTCCTCGGCAGAATGTAGTAGGATCTGGTTTTACATATTGAAAGAGGAAGTTATTCAAAGGAAAATACCAGTATTAGTAAGTTAGTAACATATAGAGGATACATTATTTATATTTTTTAAATAATAAAACATATAAAATCAGAATTTGGTGTTTGTTGAAAGTATACTTACCATGTCGGGATTGTATTATGAGGTTTTTTCCTGGTTTATCCCTCATAATTTACTATGCAATCACTAACAGGAGATTTTTACTATCATCATGGCATGTGTTTGTCTTCTTAAAGACGACTTATATGCTATAATAATATATGCTATTATTATTATATGCTATTATATTTTATCATTGTTTCGAATGAACTATATTACAAGTAAAGTCGTCACAGCAACTCAACAATATTTACAATATCATTTTAAAGTTGTCTACTTTAAAATGTATAATGTATGTCTGAATTGTCAATATATAAATGAGTTAGATGAAATTAAATTATTAGAAGAATTTTCCATCAAGTAACAAAAATTACTAATGTTTGTATTTTGAGAACGATTTCCGAAGAGAAAATTGAAACGTCAATAAACTTAATTTATACTTTAATTGTGGCTTATTTCCATTTAAATAGTAATAACAAATTAAATGTATCATTATTTAAATCAATAAATTCTCTTTTTAAAGTGGTATATCACAATTATATACTTTTTAGGTACAGTTACTGTAAACGTACGTGAACTGTAAACTTTCTATTTTAATGATATCTAGTTAAAATTTTCAAAGAAAGCAGTAAATTTTGCATAATTGTACTTAAATAAATCCATGTCATAGCTGACTTGGTAACCAGTCTAAAATTTTTGTGTAAAAAAGTTTAAACATAAACACTTTCCAAAACATTATGTTAACAATTCCAGTTTTATTAACTTTCTGGAAAATTTATTATTATAGACAAAACAGTACCTATTATGTTATCATCGATTAATTTTTGTCAGTACATCTAAATATTTCCGTAATTGAAAAAAATATATTAAAATTTACTTGAGTAAATTTTGTTTATAAGTAAAAAGAAAAATTTTGTATATATTACATAAATTTTTTTCTTTTCTTATTATTTTTTACAAAACAAAAGAATAAAGAAAGATATGATTATTGTCTATTAAATTTTCATTTGAACTAAACGTTTAAAATTAATTATTAAAAATGTGTAAGTAGGATAAATACACTTTTTAGTGTTTACATCTATTATCAATATTAAGAATTATTAAAAAATATTCAGTTTAATAATTTTAGAAAACAAGACTAATATACACTATTTAAAATGTTTATAAAACTTAAAAAACAACACTCAAACTCATCTCACCAAGACTGAGGATTCGATCTAAAAACAAAATCAAAAGCAGCAAGAGCATGGCTACAGGATTTAATCAATTTGATTTAAGTCAAATATTGATATATATATTGATCAGCTGGCGGTAGAGAATGTAGTACTTAAAGTAAAAATATATTATGTAAATGATATTATTTTTAAATTGTGCACAATTAATCCAGAAACAAAGAAAATGAAATATTAAAAAATGTATAAATATACATATGTGAAGTACCAGACACAATAGAAGATGATCAAGATAAATTCAGGATAATAGAGGAATATCATAACTAGCCATCACTAATACCATAGTATTTGCGGGCAACTTAGAAGACCTACAAGTTCTTATGAACAAAATCACGTATTACAGTCAACAATATGGACTCAACAATATAAACGTTAAGAAGACAAAGCTTATAATAATTAGCAAGAAAAGGGTAATAGAAGGTCAACTCTACGTCAACCAATCTCCTGTAGAAAGAGTGACGCACAACTACCTCGACACCATAATAAATCAAGAATGGACCAACATTCAGGGGATTAGAGCATGCATCGGAAAAACTAGATTCACCTTCAATCGCATCTTCTTCTTCATCGGGGCCTTCTTCAAGAGTCACAACCTCTCTCTTGTTACAAAAGTAAGAATGGTGCGATGCTACGTCTTCTCTGTCCTTTTTTATGGTGTTGAATTGTGGACCTTAAACGAAGATATGTGCAAAAAACTGGAAGCATTTGAAATGTGGCTACATCGGAGAATACTTAAGATTCCGTGGGTTACAAATGAGAAGGTCCTCAGAAGAATAAATAAGAACCGAGAGGTACTGACCACCATTAAATCTCAAAATTTCGAGACAAACACAAAGAAAAGACAATTATTCAGACATATTATGCGAAATAAATCCAGATATGCTTTCCTTTAAGCCATCCTGCAACGAAAAATATTTGGAAAGCGAGGTCCAGGAAGAACAAGAACATCCTGGTGAAAAAACCTCAGAATCTGGTTCAATACAACACCTGTGAAGCTTTTCCGCGCTGCTGTAGATAACATAAAGATTGCCATGATGATCGCCAACATTCGTAACGGATAGGCACATCAAGAAGAAAATATCTTATCTTATCTTATCTATCTAGAAACATAAATCTAGTACCGTCTTT